CGACAGTGAGAGGCCCGCGTACCGCAAAAAAAAAAAAAAACGTAGTTGACATTTAGGAAAAAGGATTTAATTATCTGGCTCCTGCTCCTCCTGCATTAGATATTGGAGGTGTCTACAAGTCTCCTTCCCCTCCTTCATGACCCTCTTAAATGTTACCTCTTCATTAAGGCCTTCACTGGCTATCCTACAGGGCCTATCCCCACTCTACTAGTATTCTTCATGTTAGTACCCTGTTTATTGCCTTCATAACATTTATTACAATAAATAATTAATTTGTATTTACTACTTTTTTTGTCTCTTCCATTAGACTATAAAGTTATCAAGAGTAGGGATCATGTTGTTCAATAATAATAATATTTAATAATAATGAGAATATAACAAACATTTATATAGAAATTACAATGGGTCATTTACTGTTCTAAAAGCATTACTTACATGAACTCATTTAACCCTATGGGGAGGGTACTATTATTATCCCTCCTTGACAAATAAGAAACTGAGGCCAGAGAAGTTAATTTGCCTAGGATCATACAGTCAGTAAGTCACATACCACTTTGACTCCAGAATTCATGATCTTAAACCTCTTTGCCATATTATAGTTTTTATTTACCAATGTATGCCAGCTTAGGGCCTGGCACACACAGCAGGTTTTCAGTAAATTTGTTGAGTAAATAAATAAGTATTAAAAAATGACACATGGCTTCCAAAAACTCCAAGGTACCCTAGATGAAGATTGGTGCAGTCCTACAATGCAAACTCACTTTTAAAAAATCCTGTATAGAAAAGGACCACTCAAATGAAATTCTACTATGAAATCAATGAATGGGATTTTAGTTAAATCTAAAATTAACTTTGTCATCCGTTTCAACTTCAGTACAAATACTATGATCTTTAGACAAAACAGACTAGCCCTGATTCAAATGCTAATTAAAACAAGATATGGATTTTTCCATACATAAAGCAAAGGAGAAAAAAAGCAATTAAGAACCTCTTGAAAGTACCAGGCTTCCTGAAAGATAATGTAATTTAACTCTTTTGGTACTCCTAATTAATTAAATTAAATTAATGACATTAAGATATGTAGCTTCTCTGCCTTTACTGTTCATGTTTATTGACTAAGTAATAATAACTAACATTTATTGAGTTCTTATAATATGTCAGGCAATGTCTTAAGAGCTTTACACGTTTATCTCTTTTAATCCTCATAATGGCCAAATAAGGTGAACATTATTATCCTCATTGTACAGAGGAGAAAACTGATAAAGCAAAAGTGTCACTTCTCTACATCTGAACCCTCTAGTCTGATTCCATAGCCTACATTCTTAACTATTATACTATAAATAAAATTTTGTTTTCAACCTTGTTTCACTATAGAAAGTACACAATAACAACTTTATCCTAAACTTTACTCTTAGCACTTTTGATGTATAAGTAATCATTCTGGAAATACATATTTTTTAAGTCTAATGAAACTGTATAGCCTAAACCTGAGACCTATAATAGAAACATATAGGACTTACATTTTTTACAATGCAGATAATGCCCACATGCTTCAGAAAAAAAGACTTTGAAAATAACTCTTAATTTGTAATTCAGTAGGCCTGAAAATAAATGGGATTCCTAGAAAATAGTCTGAGTTACAGTACTAATATTTTCTCATGATTTTTGGACAGACGACCAAATTCACAACTCATATTTAGTTTACACTGTGACACAATTAAGGCTCCACCCAACTACTGTATATTACAAAGGTGATATAAAGAGCTAACTTTCCTCATCTATATCCTACACTCTGTGGGAATATGACCTAGTTGGAGAAAATGACAAGGATAAGGCAGACACGGTTCAAACTTACCACATACCTCAGGGTGGTCTGAATCTATCTCACGACTTTTATAAAGATTTCCATAAAAGGACCATGTTTGCTGATAAATTACCCCATTTCTAATAATTCCACCAAAATACACTCTAAACCACTTCACTTTATTCCCCACCCCCACCCCCCACCCCCACCGAAATTACAATGGGTCATTTACTGTTCTAAAAGCATTACTTACATGAACTCATTTAACCCTATGGGGAGGGTACTATTATTATCCCTCCTTGACAAATAAGAAACTGAGGCCAGAGAAGTTAATTTGCCTAGGATCATACAGTCAGTAAGTCACATACCACTTTGACTCCAGAATTCATGATCTTAAACCTCTTTGCCATATTATAGTTTTTATTTACCAATGTATGCCAGCTTAGGGCCTGGCACACACAGCAGGTTTTCAGTAAATTTGTTGAGTAAATAAATAAGTATTAAAAAATGACACATGGCTTCCAAAAACTCCAAGGTACCCTAGATGAAGATTGGTGCAGTCCTACAATGCAAACTCACTTTTAAAAAATCCTGTATAGAAAAGGACCACTCAAATGAAATTCTACTATGAAATCAATGAATGGGATTTTAGTTAAATCTAAAATTAACTTTGTCATCCGTTTCAACTTCAGTACAAATACTATGATCTTTAGACAAAACAGACTAGCCCTGATTCAAATGCTAATTAAAACAAGATATGGATTTTTCCATACATAAAGCAAAGGAGAAAAAAAGCAATTAAGAACCTCTTGAAAGTACCAGGCTTCCTGAAAGATAATGTAATTTAACTCTTTTGGTACTCCTAATTAATTAAATTAAATTAATGACATTAAGATATGTAGCTTCTCTGCCTTTACTGTTCATGTTTATTGACTAAGTAATAATAACTAACATTTATTGAGTTCTTATAATATGTCAGGCAATGTCTTAAGAGCTTTACACGTTTATCTCTTTTAATCCTCATAATGGCCAAATAAGGTGAACATTATTATCCTCATTGTACAGAGGAGAAAACTGATAAAGCAAAAGTGTCACTTCTCTACATCTGAACCCTCTAGTCTGATTCCATAGCCTACATTCTTAACTATTATACTATAAATAAAATTTTGTTTTCAACCTTGTTTCACTATAGAAAGTACACAATAACAACTTTATCCTAAACTTTACTCTTAGCACTTTTGATGTATAAGTAATCATTCTGGAAATACATATTTTTTAAGTCTAATGAAACTGTATAGCCTAAACCTGAGACCTATAATAGAAACATATAGGACTTACATTTTTTACAATGCAGATAATGCCCACATGCTTCAGAAAAAAAGACTTTGAAAATAACTCTTAATTTGTAATTCAGTAGGCCTGAAAATAAATGGGATTCCTAGAAAATAGTCTGAGTTACAGTACTAATATTTTCTCATGATTTTTGGACAGACGACCAAATTCACAACTCATATTTAGTTTACACTGTGACACAATTAAGGCTCCACCCAACTACTGTATATTACAAAGGTGATATAAAGAGCTAACTTTCCTCATCTATATCCTACACTCTGTGGGAATATGACCTAGTTGGAGAAAATGACAAGGATAAGGCAGACACGGTTCAAACTTACCACATACCTCAGGGTGGTCTGAATCTATCTCACGACTTTTATAAAGATTTCCATAAAAGGACCATGTTTGCTGATAAATTACCCCATTTCTAATAATTCCACCAAAATACACTCTAAACCACTTCACTTTATTCCCCACCCCCCCCCCCCACCCCCACCGCCGCGCCTCATTAAAAATCCTGGACTTTTTGCATTATAATAGCAAAATGTAAACTCGTTTGATACATTTCTTTTCTTTCATTTTCTTTTCTTTGATTTATGCCGTGTAAGTATCTTTCTAAAAATCAAGTTACCATTGACTACATGAATTTCTTTAGAGCAGAAACTCTGAAGCATCATGTTACTTATCACTAACAACTGGCTAGTAAGAAATAAAACCAAATGTTCTTAAATGAAAAGTAAAGTGTATAACCTCCCTTCACCTCCCACACATTCGCACACCCTTACCTGTGTTTCTGCACTGCTTAATGAATGAAGATCCAAGGATGGGTCTGTTTTGAGCTCAGGCTCAGGAGCTGCAATTGGGGCCTTTAAAATGATCTCTTCGTCAAGACTGGCTCCAAATTCTCTCTCTTTATGACCTTCACCTTTCTCTTTCGCTGACTCTACTTCTTTGCCTTCCTCCTCAGAGACCTGAGATTTAGGCCTTTTGAGAAATGAGGAGAACAGCCGTGACAGGCCCCTGTTTTCTGATGTCCGCTCCTTGTTCTTGGTCAAATCTTCATGTGTTGGAGTGTCTCCATTAGATGTTTTCAGCTTCTGCTCACACTGACTATCTCCCTCGGCTGCTGCTTGAGGAGCCTCTTCCAGCTGAGTTTCCTGTTGACCCGAGTTTGTGGCTCCCTCACCCTCTTCCTTCTGTTGTTGCTGCTGTGGATTTTCAGCCTCAGCCACTAAACTCTTCTCTGTTGTCATGACGTTGCTATTAAAAAGAAGATGGAAAAGGGGAGCTCTTAGAAGCAAAACACATTACTGAAGGCAAAACCCTCACTTGGGTCAAGTGTGCCAGAATTAATATTTTTAGGTATTTAATCAGCAACAGACAGTACTCCAGTCCACTAAACATAAGACTTTCCATTAAAGCACAAAAATATCTTACCTATACATCCTGGATAAATTATTAATGCCTTGACTTGCTAAAGTCATGACATAGAGAAATTAGCTTAAAATAGTACCCTCTGAAGCCACCTTAGTGAAATATATCATATTTTAAGTTCAAAGCTCAGAACTGGACATAGCAAATACATTTTTATCCTTCCTAACAAAAAAGATGTTATTTATACACTGTCCTTTGAGGGTATCAGTCTTCAGGTGCTGGATTTGCAGGAATTATATGCAAAATTCTCTACACCCCAAGAGATAATGGGATTAAAATGTTCCCCAACTCTTTATTATTCTTTTTCTTTATATTTCTCAGAATGCATAGACTTCATATTAAGAACAGAAATGTAGAATTCTGTTCATTTGTTATCAGCCTTGACAACAGCAATGACAAGTATACAGTTAAAATAATCACAAAAGAATTCCTTAGGTTTTTGTGTTACAACAGTAAATTACAGCCTCTTGCAGAAGAATACAACTTTAAGTTCTTTAAGACCTTTCTTCCTTCTGACAAATATGATTTTGAATGCTCATCATTTTTAAGAGTAGCAATGAACTATTACAACAGAGTAAACTAGAGAAATAATAAAGAAGAAACAAAATAGAGAAGAAAAATTTAGAAAGCAAATGTTGATTCAAGTATAAGAGAGGAGAAGGCAGGCTGTAGACCTCACATATTTCAAACTTGTTGGTTTCTAGCCTCCTGATCTCAAAAATCCCAGTATTATTAGTTAAGCCACATAATAATGGCAAAGAGCAATGTCACACCTAGTTTACTAAAGGATAACCAACACACAAGGGAACTTTTGAGCAATTTGACTACTGATGGCCTTACACTTTGATTCACTGCTATACCTAAAAGTACTCCACTCAAAAAGCAGCATTTACATTGTCTCTGCTTCTGCCCCATACTATTTAGATGAAGTAATTTCATTTGGATGTTAACAATCCGAATTAATGAACCATATTTAGCTCATTCCCTCCTCAGGCCCTTTACACTTGCTGTTCTCTCTGCCTATGATGTTCTTCTCCTAGATATTTGAAAGATGGCCCTCTCCTCATTACTGCCTCTGCTCAGACGTCACCTCTTTAGAAAGCCCTCCCATATACACCATATCTAAAATAATGGCCCTTACTCCTCCAGATGGCCTCACAGCACCTACTGTACTTATTATTATTTACGAATATGTTAACTTTTTTGTTTACTGGTTTATTGCCTTCCATTCCCCCAGCTAAAATGTAAGTTCCATGAGGACAGAATGGTTCCTGGCACATTATACGTACTAATAAAAGTCTGTTGAATAAATTAATTTCCATTGAATATACCTGACAAATAAAAACTGCAAAGGTGTTCTCTAAATTGTTCGAGTAAATTTACTTCAAATGCATAGGTCCTATGCTAGGTGCCTGGGATACAATAGTAAACAAAACAAAACAAATAAGGTCTTTGTTATCATGGAGTTTATATTCTTGGCTCAACTTTAACCAGTATAATGAAAGAAAATTTAAGAGAACTCTTATTTACAATATGAGTGAAATCTAAATAATTATGTGTAAATGGAACAAAACAGTGAAAACAATGGAAGGAAGCTAATGGTACTGAGAGCTATTTCTGTGTCAGGCCCCTGGGTAAGGGATATTATCTACATTATTTAAATTAAGCCTTTCAACAA